TACCATTACTAAAAAGAACAAAGTGTGAAATTTCATTCAACTTCGTCTAAGAATCCAAACAGAATGTAAATAAGTTTACGAAGTTACAATAAATGTCTGAGTAAGGAGTGGCAATGCAATTGGTCGAAATAAAATATTGACTCAAACAGAGGGCAGAATCTGGACGGACATTACGGATTACATAAACAGTAATCGTCAAATATCATCGAATCACTTTCTTTGCCGTTTCTTAGCTAACTCTCTTTGCCGTACATAGGATACATGTGTACAATTTGCATATTTATATTAAAAAGGAATTCTGATTGAGGGAACTAAATCTTATTCCTTCTTCCGTGACTAACTTCCGCTGTGGCAAATGAGCCAAATTAAATTAAGTTAAACCGAAATATTGCTAGTAACTTGGTTAAAATGATCTATGCGGTGTTACCATTTTATGCTGGGTGAGAATTGACGTGGGATGCCGAGGAAACTTCTCCCTCAGAGTTTGACGTCCCCTGTTAAGAAAATAGTAATTTGACCCATCCAGGGTCACAATTAATCTATATATAGGTACCCTTTTCTTTATTTTCATTCTTAAATATTTAAAAAGGGAAATTGGAAAAAAATCGCATGATCATTCTCAGAATTTATTTGTACTGCGCCGCATTATCAAAGAAACAAGAAGAAAAAGATGATATCCATTCCTCCTGGAGAATGTTGCAAATTCGCGCCTGATTTAATGTGAGTGTACTTAATTAGAGGTATGAAATTTTGCTTCCTGCAGGTGTGTGTTCGCGAGCGCGCCCGTGTGTGGAGTTTTGAGGAGGAGCGGCGAGCTCCTTGAGCACAGACAGGGAATGCAGCAGATCTTGATGCCTGCAACCCTCTCCCCACAAGTTCCATTGTCCTGACCAAACCTGCAACGAACTAGTTTTGTCAACCACCAATTTCACAGATGGACCGGGACTCCCAACACAATAGCGGAGGTGGGACGGTGGCAAACCGGAGTCATTGAACTGAGGGTCACCCCGATCACTCGTCTAAATATGGAATTGCTGTTAGTAAATTGCAAATGGTGGTGGCTAATCAAAGTTATATTTGGCCTCATGGTAATAGGAGTCCTAAAAGCGGCAGCTATCACTACAAATAAAATGAGTGGCCCTACAATTCATGTATGTTTTAGGTTGTAAAAACTTTAATATAGGTATACCACGAGCTGCATGAATATGCTCCGTTATCGTGTGTGGATCGCAATAGTCAACCAAAGTTTAAGTCTTGGCAAATGTGTCTAACTCTATGAATGGCTACAGCTGCCTGTTGAAAGTTGAATTATTATTAAGAATAATCTGAATAGGGATCCAAAATTTCATCATGTTGAGATGCCAGATGGATTTGGTAAATCAATATATTATTTATGATTTTGAATAAAGCTTCGTATAGGTTTACACATTAGTATGAGTGACGTAAGAGTTCTTCTCGAAAGTGAGTATTTTTTACGATAGCAATGTTAGTAAAAGATAAATAATCATTATAATTGTTTAGGCGTAATTCAGATAATTATAAATTTTTTAATAACAAAATTATATAAGTTATTTCTTTCTGTACATTGAAGATTGGCTTTCGTAAGATTCGATTTGTTAATTAATTCGAATATTCGATGTGTGTCTTTCTTGGTAGTTCTCCTTGACGTTCAAAATAAAAAGCGTTCAAGGCATTACTATCCCTCAAGATAGTATTATATTCGCTTAGATATTTGACGATGTTTAACTTCTGTGATCTTGCAATGCAATAAGTTTTAAATGGTTAAGAATTGCTCTAAAACGATTATGTTTTCCATTATGTTATTGTTTGGTTTCGGCCAACAAATTCAACATGTTGCCGGTAGAAATTGTTCTACACAATGAAGGAAGTTGCAAAGGAAGCGATACGAGCATTACAAAAAATTGCCGTCTGTAATTATAATATAAAATTTCGGTAATGGGAGAGTTTTTGTGAAATCCGTAACACATAAAAAGCCAAAATGATAGTTTTGTTATTAACTCAAGGTCTTGGAAAAAATAATAAGAAATGATAATAATGATAATAATAATGATAATAATAATAATAATAATAATAATAATAATAATAATAATAATAATAATAATAATAATAAGACAAATATAAAAATTTTACTTTTATGGTTGAAAAACACAGCCAAGAATTTTTTTACTACTTGATTACTTCATTGCTGCTTCATAACGCTGCACAGTAGGTTTCCCGCAGGTGTAATGGGTAACCGCACATGTGATTCATTGGGCGAAAAAATCTTAAATAGAAATTGCAGTTTATTTACATCTGATATAGAGACTGTTGCATTATTTGCAATATTAATTAGACTGCGTAATTCAATTTCAATATAATATACCTCTCATATTATATTTTAAGGAGTGATAATGTATTGCATTATATCACAAGCGAATTGCACAGTGAAATTCACTGATTTTCCTGATGAGTCATATTTTATGATTTAACTAACTATCACTTTGTTGAATAGCCTGTTATATACAAAACGGCAATGTAATACAATACTGCCAGTCTTTATAAATTTTATATCTCGTATGAAAGAATTAGTATTGCGCGAAAGATTCCGGCAGTACTGTGACAACGCAGATGTTAGGTCAAGCCCCTAAATGAACTGTAGCGCCATCCAAAAGAAACAAAATAATGGTTTTATTAGTATTTTTAATGTTGCCCAAAATATGAGCGACTTTTAATGAATGTTTTATCGATAATTTATCTCTGAAACCGTAATCCACAGGTACGGGTGTCGCTACAAGCATGATTTAATATTATGCCATTGAGAATTGTATTACTGCTATGCCGATAACTGTTGGGCTTGACGAAACAGTTTTTACTACTGTAAATAATTTGTAAACCAATGGAATGGCACAATGGTCCTCTAAATCAGTCAAATACTTAGGGATATTGCTAGATACAAAACTAAATTGAAGTTTTCACATCAAAATTATATTAAGCCAAACCAAAATACGTACAAGATACAAAACTATTCTCAGACCTATCAAGTAATACGTATGTCCGATTTTTCCGTCTAAACTAATTAACTAATTAATGTTTTAAACTAATTAATGTTTAAAAATTAATTAAGTAATGAACTAATGTTCAGGAACTACTAGTTATCAAAAATATAGAAAAATATTCTAGATTAAAGCAAATACTCCCTGGTATGTAAGTAATATATAACTTCAAACCGAATTCTATCTAGAAACTGTTGATCATTACATCTGTATCCCGCAAATACTTTCTTTCATAAATTGAAACAAATTCCAACTCTTTTAGAAATCTTCGACTTCCAAAAAATCCCAATTTCAGGACTAGAATTCTTAACAAATATCCTTTTTACACCTTCCTAAAAAACATTTGCAAACCTGAACCCAGAATAGTGAATGTCTTCCAGGTTCCAATATCATTATAGCAGTTACAAGTGAATTATAAGTTAGAATGTGAGACATTATCATTCAATGTAGTTTTTATTAACTACAATGTCCACAATAATTAAACTATAAATACGGACTAAAATAATTATGGTGAGTCTAATAAATTTGCCATGGACCGAATTCGACGTATTCTCAGGGACTCTTTCTTGTTCGGGAGGCCAAACCCTTTTATCTGTAAAGGGCAAACCGACCGCCTGAACTTACAAAGCGATGCAGAAAACTGTCTTTAAAGCGAATCTTCGTCTTCTGATTTTCTGCAGAATACGGGTTCACGATTGTCCGTATCCTGATCGTTTGTACAGGCAATACAGGCCCATAGACAATCTTGTTGAATTTCTACAGGACAGGTAGCGATGCACTCTCGTGTTGACAAAGGCGGGCAACGGATAGGACGTCATACAGATGGCCACTGAGCTGCGGATACGCGACATACAATCCTGGACGGGCAAACTTGGTGTCTGTAGACACTATGAGGATGCGGTTCGACAAAAATCTACAAATACGGGCGACTAGAGCCATCACGTATCCTACGATTTTAAGAGCACATTTTTATTGTAAAATCAGTAAAAACTGTAGCCGACGTACGGTGAAAAAGTATAATTTGCACACTTTCGTTGAACTCAAGAACTACTCCATTTTTTACTATTCGTAGTTAAATAATGAATAAAGAAACCAATAATGTTCAAATCATTTGAAAACTAGAAATGTTCGCTCCCGAGTAATACACAACATATTTGCATCGGCAAACTAACTACAGTTTTGATTTTGTAGCATTGCTGACACAATGACAACCCACATCCTCTTCTACAGCATCTGGTGAAAAGAGAGATCAACAAAACGTGTATATAATGAAGCTAAATTTATTCGGATTCCTATTCTTCAGAATTCGGTTTCGGGTACACCACAAGTTGGTCATTCCACTTCTAAATACATCACAGTCCACACATGGTTTGCCGGGACGGATGGTGGATGACAAACCTGCGATGGGGGCTGTAGTGGTCAAGAAGATTTTTGACAAACACCTGAAGCAAATCGATAAGTGGAACGTGTGGAGTCCACTGTGTAATGGGTAATGGGTAATGGGTAATGGGTAATAGATTTCTTTAAGGTAATGGGTTATCTTTTTAAAAAATATCGCCAAGTCGATAGGTTCAATTACGGTATCTCCGCTCGTCCATTTCCAGGTTGACGGCGTAGCTTCTGATTTTGCTTAATATGTAGTAAAAAATCCTTACGTTCAGTCCACGTAAAATTTGCAACGCATTTCACACAACTACAGGTTACGACTCATCTTGTCTGACTTCCCTTGCCGTACCCACCTACTTAATTAAACTCGCGCATTCCGCACACATTCCATTTGTCCGTATGCTTTAGCCAGCCGTTCATAAAAAAGGCCTCTCTAGCGGGGCAGGGCTGAAGCGCAGCGGGGCGGGACGGGGCGGTGGGATGGGGTGGGGTGGCCGCGGTCGACGGCCGCGAGACGCGACGCCGCGCGTCCGGCCGCCGTCAGTGAGCGTCCAGATCCAGATGGCACCGGCGCGCTGCACGCTGCGGGAACGCGCGAGCGTCGGCGGCGCCACCGCCCGCGCCACAGCCCGCGCCAACGGCCGCGCCAACACCGGCGCCGTCGCCCGCGCCCTCCGCGCCTTCGTCACCCTGCGTGAGTAGTGGTCCTGCGCCGCGTTGCTTGTCAACTGCGTCTTCAGCAAGCACACGAGGGAACAATGCAGTTTTTCATACGCGTACCGAAATTTTGAGCTGATACAATCATTATTGTTCAGCAGTGTTTGCATTCAGCCTCCACATTATTCGCTCCTCTACCAACGTTCTTTCGCCTTAATTCCTTTCATCGACCATGTCCCCTCTTTAAATAAATGGCATGATACAACATTCAGTTGTGAAGGTTTACCGTTGCTAAACTGAGTAATTTTATATGCGCATAAATTATCGGTAGGGTTTATCTGATAAGATATTCCTATGACGTATGGTGTGCTAAATATCCAGAGTAAGGTTTGAACAAAGCAGTAAATTGTTTCAAAGAATTTAAAAGTGATGAGAATGATTATGCGGTCATCTAATTTCTACAAAACGGTTTAGAAAATAGTCAAACGGGAGGGGGATCAAACCTTCCGCTATCTATCAACTACAACGTCCTTGACACCTCCTTGACTTCTTCCTATTTTACTGCCCCAACATCTATCATGGTAGAACTGAAGAGGTATGATCATTACACGCAATAACAGAGACAGTTCCTTTTTTTCTTGTTATGATGGTCTTCCTTTCGTCAATTAATTTTATTTTTAACACTCGCTCATTTTTCACTTCGTTTCCCTGGCAGGTCTTGCCACTGTACGTCAAATTCAAAATTCAAACCTACAGCACTAAATATGTTCATGATGTCCTTGTAGAGCATGTACACACGGAATAGACGAAGACCACTAAGACAGTAGACACGGCATCAAATTTGAAGAGGCAACAAATGTTTGGACGCGAATATATTTTTTGTCACTCCTTGTACATACCTTCGTAGGGAAATATTTGTAGGTCATAGGTTCGAATCCTGACCGTGGCAGCATTTACGACACTAGCTAGATAGCTAGGTCTGATTCAGTTGCTGTCTGGAGGATAATTCTAGCGGCCGGCTGCTCTGGTCGGTTTCTGTGGATTCTCCTAAAAAGATCAGGCGAATGCCTGAGCAGTACCCTAATAAACGAGCAACGGACCGCGCGCATTCTTCTTTTGTTCAATCTTCACCCCTTACATACACTTACATGTACTGCACTACCACACATGCCGGGAGACCGAGCGGGAACTTAGAGCTTGTTCCGGCTGGAGCGGTGCCTCGCTGGTGGGAGATACCTGGTTGAGAAGAACCTCGCTAACCGACAAGCGACATATCTCAGCAACTAACGTGGGAAAATCACTACCATATTCCGAGGAAAAAATATACACATATTCTGCACTACACTTACGGGAATAATGACCGTAGCCGTACCACGAATCAATTAATCATTCAATCCAAATACGAATGGTTGTCATTAAAACTATTTCCATAATTACAAATAATTAAAATGAAAAATATTTTAGACCTACTACTGAATTGAAGTGTGCTGAATTGTGTACTACATAGGTCGACGATAAAAATGGACAATTTTGAAATAACTTTTAAATCCAACTTGTCAAAAACTAAGTTAACCTATTAACATTAAACCCTTAAGCGACATTTTTATTATAAATATCTTTTTATTTACCTATATTTTTTATTATAAAAACATTTTTGCTACATTTTATTAATTTTTAAAATTTCTCAAATATTCACGAAACCTGTCAAGGCAAATCCGCTTGTTGAAAACGCATCGCACATGCAACTGCAACAAACACTCTGGGGCGTGCCAAGAAACTGTGTGATGTGCCCAAGGCTGCTAAGACCCAACCTCCTTTAATTTCACATCATGAGATGCGAATTCTATATCACTGGTTACTGGGGGACAATGACAGACCTGAGTGCAACCACCAGATAGTAACTAAAAGTACAATTTCGAGAAAAACGAGAAAAAACATTTTACATTACTTTAAATACGAAATTCATCACATTTTCTTGTGCAAGGTGGAGGAAGGGTAGAATGTGAGCATTTGCTCGAATTTTAAATGCAATGGCCTCAGGAGAAATAGGTAATAATTAGATAAATACATGTTGGATATATCTGGTTCTTGCACTCAAAATAACTGCAAACGGTTCAAGAAAGAATAATTGGATATAAATGATTTATTTCCATTTTTTATAGAAAAAACTTACAAATATTTAACTTCAAAGTTACAATATGCAATAAATGAACTTTATATAAGACATTTCTGATCATATTAATTTTATTCACCAAAGAAATGTCTGGCATTGTAAAAAATGTTTGTCATTGTAAGATACTTCATTGTCTGTATCAGATTCCTCTTTTCGGTTTTTGTTGTCTGTAGAGAGTAGATTGAATTTCAAAAAATTCTGATTGCGTAACACATAATTAATTTAATTTACTGCTCAATTCATTTATATATATATATATATAT